AAAAAAAAAATAAAAAAAAAACATGGAAAGGTGGTTTCAAAAAAAAAATTAATTGAAAAAAGAATGAATAACTTGTTTTATTATATTTTTGGGGGGCGCATAGTGGTACTAGGGATTAAACCCAGGGTCCTTCACCACTATGCTATATCCCCAGCCTTTTTTATTTTCAGATAGGGTCTCCTTAAGTTGATGAGGCTGGCTTTGAACTTGAGATCCTCTTGTCTTAGTGGCCTCAATAACTGTGATTATATGTGTGCACCACAGTGCCTAGTGAACTTGTTTTTAAAAGTGTTACCAAATGCTTTGAATCTCATACCAACATTTCTTTTTAGTAAACTTCCTAATTATTTGAACAGGAATATATTCATTATTAAAAATTATATTAAATTACATTAAAAATGGGCATGTACCATGATGTTATGCCCTACACTTTAAAGTAGGATTTCTCAATCTTGGCATTACTGATATTTTGGGAAAGATAATTCTTTGTTGTTGGGGTGAATGTCCTTTGCATTACACAGTATTTAGCATCATCCTTGTTCGCCACTGATGGATGCCAGTAGCACTCCAACCCTAGTTATGACAACCCTAAAGATCTCCCAGATATTATCAATGTAACCCTGGTGAAGAACTAGGATAATATCTACCATAAGTACAGTAAATACCTGTAAAACTCTTGCATCTGTATATACAATTGTCATAAGCAGAACACTGTCTGCAGATAACAAAAGGATCTATTTTTAAATTCTAGAAAATACAAACACCTGTATCCTCTGTTTTTAGGATAATCATCCAACATATTACTTTAAATATATTTACATATATAATTCTGATTATTTTAAGAACATAGCATTCTCCTACTCAGCCAAACAATTCTAAAATCACTTTGCTACATAAAGTCAAATATTAAATTAAATTCATTTACCTTTAAGGCTGACATTATAGTTTGCTCAGCTACATCGGGGAATGAGTTCTGACTGGAAACCACCTAGAATGAGGATTTTTGATCCAGTTACAGTTTTGCTTATTCATTTATTTTTGCAAATGCTAATTTTGATCATAACAAAACAAAGCTGTTTCCACAAGCTACATTAAAATATCATCACTACTTCATAGTACTACCTCACACATGATTTTAAAACTCAATTGAAAAATGTTTTGACATACATAAAGCAAAGACATACTTTAAATAATAGAAATATTAAGAATATCAGCAGCTAGTTTCCTTTGTTTGCCTTAAAAAGGTTTCATTATAAAGTTTTAACTTGAAAAGGTCAGAATAAAGCCATATTTACTTATCTCTTTTAAAATATTCACTTTCCTTTAGGCTGACTCTTGATCAAGTCTTTAAAACATAAATATAAAATATTCCGTTTTTACAAATCAACACAAAATATCAATAAATACATTTAAATTAGGCTAAACAGAATAATCATTCATTTATTTGTGGTGTTTTACAGAAATGAGTAAGGAAACAGAATTATACATCATTGAATGTTTTTGATAATTTTACTTTTCTGAGATTTACCTGTTAACGTTTTAAAATTAGTTTGTTTAGTATGTTGAAATTCATATTCTTAGAAATGCTTAGCTGATTAGAGAATGTTAAATTTTTTAAACAAATGAATAATGTCACATGGCTATTCTAAAATATAATCTAGCATATTAAAGCTCAATTTAAGAATTTAAGATTTTTCTTTCTTTCTTTTTTTTTTTTTTCAGTACTGGGAGTTGAATCCAGGGCCACACTGAATCACATCTCCAGGCCTTTTAAAATTTCTTTTGAGACAAGAGTCTCACCAAGTTTCCAGGCTGACCTTCAACTTGTGATTCTCCTGCCTCAGCTTCTCAAGTAGTTGGCATTATAGGCAAGTGTCACCATGTCTAGTAGCAGTTCAAATTTTTAAGAACACCTAACCTTTAGCTTTCTTCAAGTCTTCTAAATATTTATCATTCTATTTACAAAGTATTTTGAAATGGTCTACAGAGAATAATTAAACTCAAGCTACTGGAAAATCATGGTTGAAGTAAAAAACACTGTTTTTCTAGGAACAAAGAATATAGTTCACTTTAATCATAATAGAGTTGGCTCTCCATACCCTTGGGTTCCACATTCAAGAAATCAATAAATCATGGATCAAAAATATTAGGGAAAAAATTCTGCATCTGTTTTGAACATGCACAGGCTTTTTATTGACACTATTCCCTAAACTATACCATACAGCTATTTCCGTAGTACTTACACTATATTAGGCATTATGAATAATCTAGAACTGATTAACATACATAGGAAGATGTACATAGGTTATATGCAAATACTACACCATTTTATATATGGACTTGAACATCTATGGATTTTGGTATCCATGTAAGGTAGGATGGGAATTCCTGGACCCAATCCTCAATGGATATTGAGGAAGGACTGTACATGGAGGCAAACAAGGTAAAATTTAGCTGACTATTTAAAATGCTTTAGTAGAAAAATAACAGAAATTATATCTACTTGCAAGTAGTCAACTGTGATAATATTTAAAAATTTGCTATTTTTAATACAGATCTTTCCTGGCTTTTTGAGCCATATCAGAACTTTCTGACATGTTGGAGGGCTTGAGAGTTTTTATTCTGTTATTAGTTTTGCTATGTACTTATTACCACCTGTATCAAATTATGGTTTTCAATAAAGTATGAAACACATATGATTTGCCCTTAAATAATTTGTTCAATAAATTTGATTAACTTGAGGGACTGAATTTCATATGTTTTAAACTCACTATTAGAGGTAAAATGTATGTAAATAATATAGGTCATAATCAAAGTGTTTAAAAAGAGTTAATGTCTCATTTTATTTTATAATCATGACATTTTCATTGTATTCTTTTCCAAAAAAATAAAATAATATTTTGTAAGTTGTATACATTTAGACAAGAACAGAAGAACCTGAAATTAAGTCAAAATAATCAATTAAAACAAAAAAGAAAGGTTACCTTTGTTACAGATTGGTGCAACTTATACAGTGAATTCACCACTGCCACATTTCTTTTCTGACCTTCAGTAAGAGGTCCAATCACTTGACTTGCATCTCCTTGAGTAGAGAGCTGTAAGAATTCAACACAAAAAGACATCAAAATTACAGTGTGTATTTTTTCTTTAACCAGGGAGAAATTCATATCCCCTTGACAAAGAGAATGCCAACCAGCAAAGAGAATGTCAACTGGAAATATTCAGGTCAAGTTAAAACTTTGGACTTAGGCACAAGAAATCTCTATAAAGATAATACCATGGACATGAAAGCACAATTAGTTTTGTGCAGAAAGAATACCTATTATAACACTTCCTGGCTGATAGGCCTCTGAGGCAGGTGTGACCCAAATTCCCAGTCTGTGTTGTCATGTTGATACATTAGCAAAGTAACCCTAAGGAATACTTTCTGGCAACTGCCAATAGGATTTTTTTTTTTCCTATCTGAAAACTCAGAAATAAGTCATTAAAAAGGAAAACGAAAGGAGAAAAATAAACCTAAATCTTGAAATTTTTCCTAAACTCCAATGAAATGGTGGTAAGAAATGATATTATGCTTATTTTTGTAGGATTTTTTTCCCCAAAGGAAGTTGTCTAAGATACCATTATATGGTTCATCTTTCTGACCTTTGATTTATTTCTAATTACATGAATTTGAGGGAATAGTGCATGAAATACTTTGAGTTAATCTGTATCTGCTATAATTGGGGTTTAAAAATCCACATATTAATCATTCTCAGATTGATTGATTTTAATCCAATCTTCTATCATGATTATTACTTAAAGGTAAATTAAACTCAATCAGGACATAGAAATGACATAACTCACTCCAGAAATGTGGATGCAGATTTCAAACATATAAAAAATTGGCTTTTTAGGAGAACTGAAACTAAGATCATCTCCCCATTATCACAGAAAACCAAATAATAAGTACTATTTCTTTCTTTCTACTTTCCTTTAAAAAATATATGTAAATTTTCTTTTAAAAAATTTATTCTAATTTGTTATATATGACAGCAGAATGCATTTCAATTCATATTACATATATATAGATAAATTTTCAAAATTAAATTCAATCTCTAGTTTTCCAACTGTAATAAAACAATTTTAAAACATTAAAATTGTGGTTTATAAAAAAGGAAACAATCCTTTGTTAAAGTTGCAACACATGTGGTGGTTATTAAGTCAACATAAAACTTTTTTTGATACCAGGTTAAATAACATTCCTCATGGACATAGTCACCAACTTGTAATCACATTATATTTTAAAGTAGTCAATTTGTGTGTTGGTGAGGTGAAAAAAAAAATAAAACATTTTCCTGTAGAAAGTATGATAAAGAATAAAAGAGGGCTGGGGTTGTAGCTTAGTGGAAGATTGCTTGCCTAGCACATGAGAGGCATTGGGTTCACTCCTTGACATACATAATAAAAAAATAAGCAAATAAAATAAAAATAACAAAAACAAAAAAGAATAAAGATACTCAGCAGAGTCCACAAATCTAATATAATCCATTAGTGGTAAACTAATACTAACAGAAGCTCTGAACTCCCCAAGAGAAGGCAAATAATGGGCTCTGTGCAAGGGTGAGGGTGAAGAAAGGTTCCTGAACAAGGTACTCTGGAAGACTAAAGTGGCAACAGTCAATGGCATCAGTTCTTAGATGACTTTGGGGGTGGGGACCAGATAGGGAACATAAGTATAAAAGTCATGAGCTTGATGAGCACAGTATAGTTCTAGCTACTTGGGAAGCTGAGCCAGGATTGTGTGAGCCCAGGAATTGGAGGCCAGCCTGCTCAACATAGTGAGACCCCCCAACTCAAGGAAAACAAAAGTTATAAACTTTAAAGTTCAACATCTGTTGGTTCTCTTGATATTCTCAAAACAATTTTGAAGAACAAACAAAGAAATGGAAAAAGGAAAGACATTTTCTTATTTTATTTTGATTTGTAATATATTTATAAAATAATTTTATTTGAATTTATATGTTCCACATTTAATGAGGAGACAGGCTTACTGCTAGAAAAGGGTAGTAATCATTTTATTAGTGAGAACTGATCATATTTTGGGGATTTATAAAACAAAAGCTGAATTCACATCCTCTAAGATGCTATAAACAGAATAGGTAATATCAAATGTTTGACCAGGATGAAGAAAAAATAAACCCTCATCCATTACTGGTGGCAATGTACAGAAATAGTCTAATAGTTCCCTCAGAGTAAATACAGAGTGACCATATGACCCAGCAACTAAACTCCTAGATATATAAACAAGAGAAATAAAAATATATGTTTACCCAAAAGCTTGCACACAAATGTCCATAGCATTGTTCATAATAACCAAAAATGGAAATAATCTAAATGTTATCTGACTGATAAAAAGCTAAATAAAATATAGACTATCCACATAACTAACATTACTTGGCAATAAAAAAGATGAAGTTCTGATGCACACTACAACATGGATGAATCTTGAAAACATTACTCTAGGAGAAAGACACCAGTAATAAATGTCCATGTATCAAATGACTGAATTTATATGAAATATCCCCAATAGCCAAATCTGTAACTACAAACAGATTTGTTGTTGGAGTGAAAGTAGGAGGGGCAAGTGGATACCAGGTATCTTACAGGATGATGAAATGCTATGAAAGTGAATGGGAACATACTAAAAACCATTCAACTGTATACCTGAATGGGTGAGTTAAATGACATGTTAGTTATATCTTAATAAATCTGGTTTTAATTTAAAAAATATACAAAGAAAGAATAATTCCAGACTTTCAGGTTATCTGACTGGTGCCATGAGAGCCTTGCAAAAACTAATGATGGCTAAGTTTGACAGACCCACAAAGTTATATGAATAAAATAATATAGCTATGGGAACCAATAGTGATAACATAAAAGAATTAAAAATGAAACATAACTGTGTCAAAAATAAGGTACAAAATAACCAAATTGATGCAAAAATACAAGTTTTTGAAAGAATGAAAATGTATATAATCTGCACAGGATATAATTGTCCAACATCTTAGCTAACATGATCACCCTGTGTCTCTCTCAACATCACTTCTATCAAAACTTTTTCTTGGGAAATAACCTCAAGCTTATAGGAAGTTAAAAAATAAAAAAAGAATGCAAGGAACACTATGTACTCTTTATCCAGATTTACCTATTTTGTTAACATTTTATGTGTTTGCTTTATTATTTTTATTTTTCCCTCCCTCTCCCACTCATGCATATGCCTAATTTGTTTTCTGAATATTCATACATTACAGCCCTGTACCCCTAAATATTTCAGAGTATGTCTTTCCCAAGAAGAGAGACATTTTTGTATGCTTGTAATCCCAGTAATTTAGAAAGCTGAGGTAAGAGGATCACAAATTCGAGTCGAACTTCAATGACTTAGTGAGACCCTGTCCCAAACTAAAAAATAAAAAAGGTAAAGTGAACTTGCGTTCAATCCGTAGTACAAAAAAGAAAATAGGGTATTTTATTTTATTTTTTTTACAAAACTACAGTTCTGTTATCAACCTCATAAATTTACACTAATATAGTACTTTCATCTGGAATCTGCTAAGTCTTGAAGGAGTGCTGGTTCCTTTTAGTCACTAAGTATGGTCATTGTTACTAACTCCAATAATAATTCTTAATTAATTTAATATTCAAAGAGATAGACTTTCATTTGTTTTTCTTTTTATCCTCCTTCATTGATCTTATTCTCCACTCAAATTCATTTACCTGATCACATCTCACATCTTACCATTAGAATGACTGAATCAGAATTTCAAGCACTGTACTCCTATTTTTTCATTTGTTCTCCCTCCAATGATACCTTGGCCTCTTGAGACCTCCCAACTCTACTGACTTTTCAATCTCGCAGCTGTCCCAAACCCTCATTTCTTTACTTCCCTACTTTCTGGCTTAGATTTCATGATTCATCATAATGAATTTCAGTAAAGATGTCTTGTGAGGGGATGGAATCCTGTGCATTTAAACTGGGGCCTGTAGAGTCCATTAGTTTTATTAGAGATAGTCGGGTAAGGGAGTTCAGTATATAAACATTATACTCGCTTAGCRAAACTCCAGTCCTAGTTAAGGCCACACTTGATGTGAGAAGCTGAACGTTTCACTGGTCCCATTTTTTTTAAGCATTTTAAAAATTTATTCTAATTTGTTATATAAGACAGCAGAATGTATTACAATTCATATTACACATATAGAGCATAATTTTTAATATCTCTGTTTATACACAAAGTAGAGTCATACCATTTGTGTCTTCATACATGCACTTAGGGTAATGATGCCTATCTCATTCCACCTGGGTCTTTCCTACCCCCATAACACTTCTTACCCTCCCACCTCTTTTCCCTATCTAGAGTTCATCTAATCTTCCCATGCTCCCTCTCCCTATCCCACTATGAATCAGCATCGTTTTATCAAAGAAAACATTTGGCATTTGGTTTTTTGGGACTGGATAACTTCACTTAGCACTATATTCTCCAATTCCATCCATTTATCTGCAAATGCCATGATTTTATTCTCTTTTAATGTTGAATAAACCCACATAATTATGGTTATCTTATGTTAGACAAAAGCGCTAAAAACATACATTGGAGAAAAATAGCCTCTTCAACAAATGGTGCTGAGAAAAATGGAAATTCATATGCAACAAAATGAAATTAAACCCTTATCCCTCACCATGCACAAAACTCAACTCAAAGTGGATCAAGGACCTAAGAATTAAACCAGAGACACTACGCCTAAAAGAAGAAAAAGTAGGCCCAAATCTCCATCATGTTGGATTAGGCCTTGACTTCCTTAATAAGACTCCTATAGCATAAGAATTAAAATCAAGAATCAACAAGTGGGATGGATTCAAACTGAAAAGCTTCTTCTCAGCAAAAGAAACAATCAGTAGGGTAAATAAAGAGCCTACATCTTGGGAGCAAATTTTTAGTTTTCATGACTATGAAACTAAGATGGGTCCTTGGTGATTCCTGTCAATCCAGTGATATATCCCAGTCACTGTCTCCTTTTCTCTCCCCTTTTCTGTAATCTCCAAAACCTCACTCCTTCT